ATCCTTACGGGTCAACTGTGTCAAAGGAGCTGCTATTTTAGAGAAACCCTCTATAAATTTTCGGTAGTATCCTGCAAGTCCCACAAAGCTACGCACTTCCGTCACTGTCTTAGGGGGTTCCCATTTTAACACTGCATCTACCTTGGTAGGATCTACAGATATCCCTTCTGTCGATATTACATGTCCCAAAAACTGTACCTGGTCTAACCAAAACTCACATTTTGAAAGCTTGGCATACAATTGTTTCTCTCTTAACACAGCTAACACCACCCTCAGATGTTCCTGGTGTTCTTCCCGAGTTCTAGAATAAATAAGAATGTCGTCTATAAAAACAACAACAAACTTATCTAAATAAGGACGGAAGATCCTGTTCATGTAGTCCATAAATATTGCAGGTGCATTTGTTACTCCAAACGGCATGACCACATATTCATAATGACCATATCTCGACCTGAACGTTGTCTTCTGTACATCCTCTTCTTTAACTAGTATCTGATGGTATCCAGATCTCAAATCAATCTTAGAAAAGACTGATGATCCTTGTAACTGGTCTAATAAATCATCAATCCTCGGCAACGGGTACTTGTTCTTGATAATCACCTTGTTTAGTTGTCGGTAATCAATACACAACCTGGATCTCCCATCTTTCTTCTTTACTAGCAATACAGGAGCGCCCCAGGGAGATACACTCGGCCGAATGAACTTCTTTTCCAGCAAATCCTCTATTTGTTTCTTCAATTCAGCCAATTCTGCTGGAGTCATCCGGTATGGTGCCATAGAGATTGGGCCTAAACCAGGAATTAGATCAATCCCAAATTCGACCTCTCTCTGAGGTGGCAGCCTTGGTATCTCATCTGGAAACACATCAGGAAATTCTCTCACAACCAGATAACACTGAGCTCCCTCTCATAGCTCTTTCTGAACCTGTCGAGCTGATGTAATAAGCTCATCTCCTGATTTCGGATGTACCAACCTCTTCTGTCCACAGTCAATCAGAATGTGATTGGTGGATAACCAATTCATCCCTAAGATCACATCCATATCCTTCAAAGGTAAACCGATTAAGTTCACCTTATATTGTCGTCCTTCTACGACAACTGGGCACCTCAAACACACATAGGAAGACACCACCAGTCCAGCTATTCATGTAGATACCCTCAATTCATAGGGTAGGTCACACACAGGTAACTTAAGTTTATCCATACAATTATCAGCAATAAAAGAATGGGTAGCACCTGAATCAAACAAAACTCATAGAGGTATATCAGAGATAAAACACACACCTTGCACTAAATTCTCTGACCTCAATGTCTCTGCTCCTGACAAGGCAAACACCCGTCCTACAGCTCTGGGTTTCGCATCACTCCCCCTGGGTGCTAATGATGCCCCAGCTGAGACTATAGCACTAGGCTTCTGTGGACAGTTTCTAGCCATATGTCCTGGCTTCTGGCAAGTGTAGCAAAGACCTGCCCGAGAAGTCTAGAAAGGAGTAGTGAAGGAATTTTGTGGGCACTGATTCCTGTAATGAGGGCCTCCACATTGAAAACATTTCACCCCGGATACAGATCCCGATGATCGAGGTGTTGGGGTAACACTGCCACTCCTGGAAGACTGGGGGCGTGAATAAGGCATCCTCCTCTCTGATCTACTACCCCCACTCGGGACCCCACTTAGGTGGGTCCTCATCACTCTGACTCCTCCCTCCTAGAGTCTTTCTATTGTCTTTGTTTTCTCCACCAGCTCTGAGAATCTCCTGATAGAGAAAGGAACCACCATAAGCTTGATCTCAGCCATCAAGCCTTCCTCAAACTTCCTGCAAAGCCACTGTTTTAAAGATGTACCTGTGTAGAAACGAGATAAGTGCTCAAATCGTACGGCGTAATCATGTACCGTCATATTACCCTGTCTCAAACTCAGGAACTCATTCTCCTTCTAAAATCTAACACTGTCAGGGAAGTATTTCTCCAGAAATCTCTCACGGAAGGTTTCCCAATTACACACCTCCCCACGTGCAATCATCATCCTTTTAGTCCCTGACCACCAGAACTCAGCCTCATCCACTAGTAAGTATTTCCCGAATGTCAATTTCCTGTCTTCTGGGCATAAGGTAGCCTCAAAAATCTTCTCCACTTCACGCAGCCACTTCTCTGTTGCATCTGGACCCAAATCTCCTCCAAAATGAGGTGAATTATGCCTCATGAACTCAGTCAGCCCCATTTGCTCTGATTGGTGGAATCCAGCAGAGGATGATGCCATAGTTGTGCTCCACTACGGGTAGGTAGCCTACTGCTGCATGACAGCTGCCAACATTTCCATTGCCCTGGCTAGGGCATCTACACTCGGTGGAGTAGGAGTAGGAGTAGGAGTAGGAGGTTGCGGTGCCATCCTATATCAAACGCAACCATCAATACAGAACAAACATTCACACACACTCACATATCAGAGTATAATCACAACGGACTAATCATAGGTTCACTACCATCCCCACAGATTTACAAGGATACTACCGCTCTGATACCATTATTGTAATGACCCTAGAAATCGCTACTATAATTATGCATTCGCAAAATAGTAAACAAGTAAATAATGACATCTATCTTACATTATATTACTGTAATTGTAACATAGATTGAAATTCTGGTTCACTAACGGAACCTCAAAATATAGTAACATAATTTATTTATATATTATACATGTAAAAGTAGCTCCCTCGAAACTATCCCACTGAACTATCCATATTGTCCAGTAGTCACATCTCCATCTCTCAACTCCTGATTTGCTCCCACATAAAAGTGATCATCGCAGTCCCATCCACATGGAAAAATAGGGGTAAGTACTAAATTATTTGATATAATAAAACAGATATAGAAGTAATAATTATATATTATGATCAATTACGAAATCATCAACACACTAAGACACCTTCCGGAAGTATACCCTAACTATGCCCGAACTCAGAGGCTATCATCTGTGGGCACATTGTGATCGGCACCCGCAGTACCATTCTGACCACCCTCCACATAGAGTAGGATTACTGGCGCCCTTCATCACTCATATTGGAGTACCCCTCCGCGCGCACCCGGTCATCCCCCCATCGACATCTCACCACCTGATCTCGTAGTCTACCTGACCCGACCAATCAGTGAATTCTGGGACCTCATTCAAAATCCTCCAACATAGTTAGTACACTAAAGTACTCTGTACCACCCCGGGTACCATTCAAACACAACAAAATCATTCACATTTGCCGGATTCTGGACCTGTCCTCACGACTCATTAAAGCCAATAAATAATAATACTTGACTGATTCTGGGCACCAACCCTCTAGCTCAGTCTAGCCAATACATAACATCTCATGACTGATTATAGGCATCAACCCTTAGACTCAGTCTGACTCACACACGTCACAACACACTATTGAATCTTTAAAACTGCTACATTCATTCTATATTTTAAATATATATATATATATATATATATATATATATATATATATATATATATATTCTTCTTCTTCTTTTCGTAAATCATTTCCGAAATCATTTCCAAAATCTTTTTCGAAATCATTAAATTACTATTTTGCCCTTAATCTTTTCTAAAAATTCCATGCATGTCCCTAAATGACTATTTTACCCTTGGACATTTTCGAAAATTCCTTCCATGTCCCGAAAATGACTATTTTTCCCTTGGACATTTTCAAAAATTCCATTTATGTCCCTAGGATGTAAAATGACTATTTTACCCTTGAACATTTTCAAAAATTCCTTCCATGTCCTGAAAATGACTATTTTACCCTTGAACATTTTTAAAAATTCTTTCCATGTCCCTTTCTTCTTCCTCGTGCTAGTAATAGTAACAAATTTTGCTGATTTTGGCAGATTTCAAATTACTCAGTTTTAGACAACCAAACTAGTCCCAAATTCAAATTAAACATGAATTATATCTAATTTAAATTGAAAACAACAATTTTATCGTATAATTCATCCTTAATTTTAAGAATTTCAAAAATTTTCAAACCATGAACAGTGCATCCAAAATAAAAATTTCTTCAAAATCAGACATTCAAATAATTCATATCTCTACTCCTATTCCTTATTCATACGGTATTCATAGAGTACCCAACAATTCAATTTCATATATTGAATGAATTAAACTTCCCCTTACCTTGTATGGTATTTCTATCAAAGCTTTCCCACTTAATTCAAACTCTCTCCTGTTTCACCAGATCCTGTAGGAGTAGAGTATCGTTGCTTGAAATTTAGACAAAAGAAGAAGAATGATGAGAGGAAAATTTTGATTCTCCTCATCCCTCGCTTCAATATGCATACATAAGAAAAAATTTATTGTGCATGAGGAAAACTTCGTTACGAAGTTTTTTCAATAATATTAATATAATATTAAAATAAAAAAAAACATACGTCATAATTTGAACGCTCAAATCAATAAATAAATTAGTAAAATAACATGATGAGAATGCAACTTAGTGGTTTTTTCAGATTTTATATTTGTAAGATTTCGAAAAATTATTGCTGAAACACCTAAATTAACCATGAAGAAATTATTTTCAGAACTTGATTAATTTTTTTTAAATGGAGAAAATTGCTAGTAGAATTGGTTAAACAAAAACCAGCTAAAAAAATTTGATAGTTTTTAATAAATTTGAATTAAAAAACATTTTAAAATATGTTTAAAATATCAATATTTGAATATTTGTCACTTATGAGACTACACTACCTGACCCACCATTCCAACAATGTCAAAGACAGCTTGAAAGGATAATGATTTTCTTTTATATTGTAAGCGCAAGGAAATTATTGTAAGTGTCTTTCTCCTGCACTTGCCTTTTCCAAGGAACAGACTTTACAACTCTTTTCCACACATTGACCACAACACAAACTCCTGAACTACGTCTCTCCTCTCCACTCTATATAAACCTTTCCTCACCCTTCTCTCTCTTCACTCCACTTCCTTCTCCCCTTCAATTTCTTTTGTCTAATTAAATGGAGGAAAGTGTGGCACCAAAGAGGCCAAGAGAAGAGCCCCTAGGGAATGAATCTACACTAGATTGTGATGAATTACAAGACTCAAAGAAGCACAAACCATACAACCACATACTCTCCCTCCTTGAATCAGAGGAAGATGACTCCACACAAGACCTCTCTCCTCTCATCACTGCCCTCCAACAAGAAATCACCGATCTTGCCTCTGATTCGGACACCCTTTTAAGCCAGCACACAACCACAATTAATAATTTGCAGGAGTGTTCATCCTCCACCACTCACTGTTCCAGTGGCATCGTGGAGGAACGTGAAAGAGAAATGGTCATGAGACACCTTCTTGAGGCTTCTGACGATGAGCTCGGGATTCCAAATAAAGGGGGTGATGGATTGCTCGATCTTAGGGAAGATTATGGGTTCAACGGTGGAGACATGCTTTCTTCTATTTGTGATGGGTTGTGGGAGTTTGAAGATGAAACTGCTAACTACTATGAACTGTTGCAGTCTCAACTCTTTCTCTAGTTTCTTTGGAAGGTGGATAGAAATTTATGAAAACATAAGTTTTTGACGCGTTCAAGATGATGATATCCGAGGACAGAAATTTAAACCTTGAAGCGTTTTTTATTCTTTTACTTTTTCATTTTTCATCCCTTCCTTTTGTAAATTAAGATCATGAGAGGCTTATATTGTTGCTTATTATACTTGACATTATGTCGATCTGCATAAAAAACCAAGTAGGCTTATATTATATCAGGAAAGTGTAATTATAATATAAAAAATATTAATTCAACAATCATTTTTATTAATAATATAATAATAAATAATAACTTATTCACGTAAATAAAGTATTTTATAAATAATTCTAAAATACGAAGAAAAGAAAAAAGTAAAGATATAAATACTTTTTATTATTATTACATTAGTAAGAATATTTTTTATAACGAGTTATGAATATATCATTACCCATAAGTGATTTTATCTTAACTTTTGAGGGTAAATGAAACGAATTTTATTTTTCATTTTTTTTTAGTAATTTAAAATGAAATCTCTTTCCATAATTTTTTTACGCCAAGTACATTTTCAGCAGCATTATTCGAAAACCTATTGAAGCTATCCTATCCAAATTTATTTATTTTTTGTTATTTTTAATAAGTTTCAGTCAATAATAAAGAATAAAAACATTTAAAAAATGTATTACAATTTTGTTATTTGTGTTTTTTAAAAGAACAAAGTTCACCTAATTTTTTTTCTAGTTCCTTTGACATTGTTTTATTTAATTTTAATGCTTTGTGTGCTTTAAAAAAAAAATACATAATAGAGCATAAGATTGAGTATTTGATTCTCGACTTGAATAGAATAATAAACTGTTTCGTTATGTTCTGTCTACTCAATGTGCCAAACTTTACCAAATATTTTCTTTGATGGATATCCATTTTTAAAAGATATACAAGTGCATTCCACATTTAAGTCAATAATCCATACTTTTAATAGATGTTTATAGTTTATACTACTTAAGTATTATTGAAATATGATTAATGATGGAGATGGTTGCGAGAAGAATTATAAGTGCTTTAAAGAAAATTAGTTATAATAAATATTTATAAATAAAAATATTATTTTATTATGAATGGTTTAAAATTGGTTAAAATTATTTATATAAAATAATTTAAACAATTCTTTTAGAAAATTCATCATAAAATAACATTGGTGTACATTTTATTAAGTCAACTCGGTTCTCAAAATTGTACCATGATTAATTAATTATTCAAGAATCTTATCTCAAATATCCACCTTACATATGTGAGGATCTAATCTAAGAAAGTTAGAGGGAGAAGTGGTTTAGTCAAAGGTAAAATATAAATTAAATTAAAAAGAGTTATAAAAATAAAATCTTAACTATTCAAATTTTGTTCTTACAAAATCATTATCTCTCTATAATTCTCTTTCTATGCATTCTCTCTAACTTCATCTCCTCATTTCTCATATTTTTCTAGATCCAAATATGTCTTAGTGTTCTAAAAATAAAAAAGAACATTCCTAACTTATTAGAATTTTCAATATAGTAAGTTTCTTTTTGTCCATTTTTAGAGTATTTAAATATAAATTTAAGAAGCTTGTATGTGGGGCCCAAGATGCGTGCATGTGAATTTTGTCGGCAATTAATTTTGACTAATTTAGAAATATTATGCTAGATTGGAGTTTTCTATGAATAAGATCTATGAGTTTAGGAGCTTTTAACGTTTTTAAATTGGATTGTGAAATTGAAATAAGAAAAACTAGTAAGAATTTAATTTTCATAGCACTCTAGGCTAGAAAATATAGACTATGATGATGATTCACTACAACAGAAAGTGACTTTTGCGACGGTACTTTAGATAGCGGTTAACAAAAATCGCTTTTAAAAATACATATTAGATAGCAGTTAGGAATAAAACGCTTTTTAAAGTATGTTTTAATAGAGATTCAGAAAGAACCGCTTTCTAAAATAATTTATAATAACGGTTGTGTGATAACCGCTATCTAATATCATACCTTTAAAGAGCGGTTGACACGTGGAACCGTTATCATAACTTTAGATAGCATTTACTTCGTGGAATCGCTATAATAAGTGTAGTTTAGATAGCGGTTATTTGGCAAACCGCTATCTAAAGTCCAATTTTTAAAAACCCTAGTCCCCTTTTTTTTAATCTCACGCTCTCTGTTTCTACATTTTTTGCCGCTCTCTGCGCTCTCCTTCTCGCTCTCTGCGTCTTCCATTAAACTACAGGTACGTTCTCTCCTTCTCTCTCACTTTGTGCTCTCCCACTTGCTCTGGGTTCTCTCCATTTCCCTCTATGTCTTCAATCTCTCTCATTCTCTTGCTCTCACTACTCAGTTGGGTATTACAACTCCATTTAAGCATATTTGTGTCGCGTTCCGGTCTCCATTCGACATTGTTGCTGTAGGACGCGCTTATTGGGAGGTCTACAATATGTTAGCTGTTGAATTATTGACAAGCGTACCAAAATTATATATCGCAGTATAGTATTTCAATTAAATAAAAGTCGATCTCACGACGAACAGTTTCAATGGAAATTCCCAATTATGCTTACTAAGTAGATTAAACAGATTAGGTTTTGCAAATAAGAGTTGAATTGAAATTAAATGACAAAGAACTGTAAATTGTTGAGAAAATATCAATTAAAGGCACTTAGGATTGGTTTCCTTCCTTATCCATCTTTTTTAATGGCTATGTCAATTAAGAACGTCAATTAACCTAACAATGTTGATGCCACCTACTTAAATCATCCATGTTGATTCCTCACACATGAAATTCATAAGAAAACTTAATAAATGTTGATTCCTCACACAATTAACAGATTTTCCAGCATTAGGTTTAGGGTGTTAAGCAATTGATACATTCATTCCATTCCTAGCAATTAACGTAACAAATATTCTTACCGTGATCTAGGGTTCAAGATATATTTTCCAATCATGCCCCAAACATCAAGAATAAATCATTCCAAAGCATAAAGGATAAGAATAACAACATCAAAACATATATTAATATCTCAGAATATCACCATGATACAAAAGAGTTCAAAGGAAGTGCACTGAATCCTAAGATAATGAAGTTAGCCACTCATGTTGGCCATTACAATGCTCTAATTGATGAAGAAGTGAAAAATTGATGAAGATTAGACGAAACCCTAATAGTAGTCGTGCCTCCTCTTCTCCAAGACTGCTTCCTTTTCTCAAAACACAACTTATCTTTTTATAAGAGTATTTGGGTCGGGCTTCGCATCATTCATTCGCTTAAGCGTTCTTCTTTCTTTCAATTTTACTCCAATTATGCTGACAATTATACTCCTTACTCTTGTATCAAGGTATTCTCGAATTCATCCTATATTGGGAAAAAAATAGATTAGAATTAACATAAGTTAAGTGGTTTCATAACAATTCAAGGCATAATTATATCAACTTTTTACCACTTAACATTAGCGCATTATATATTTTTTTAGGCTTTTATTTGATTTATTATAGTATAATTATTTGAATTAATGTGATATTGGATACAATTTGCACCCCTATTTTGATTCTGATACGGTTAGTTAAATTTTAAGGTGAGCGTGAATTAGAAATTACAATTTAAAATTAGTATTTGGATTGATTAATATCTTAGTTTGGTCTGAATTGTTTATTTTTGCCTATATTGTGATCCTGAAATTGTGTTTTGAAATAAAATATAGGCTAGTTAGGATATATACATGGTTTAGTGTGACCCTGAAATATTTTGTATTAAAGATTATGTATGATATTTTTGCTGATAGTTTTAGTAATTTTAGATACTTGTTAAATGGTATTATTATATATGAACTTGAGTGAATCTTCAGTTTCTCATTTGAGTCTCTAAATAATGATTTAGGATCATTATTTTGAAACTCAAATTGTCCCAATTTGGACCGTTTGTAAAAAAAGTTTTCCTTGGCCAATAATTATCTAGGTAGTTGATTAAACTGTTATTTGTTATAGTTGGTGCATGGTTGAATCAGGTTAATTTTACCAAATTCAAGTTTGTTAGACAAATGGCATCTAGAGGGGGGTGAATAGATGCACAAATTAAAATAGATGTCAAATTAAAAATTTATTTGTGAGTCAATAATTTGTTTGAACATAGATAAAGCGGAAGCAATAATATAATCAGGAAAAGAGAAAGAGATAAGGGAAAGAGAAGAGCACACAGAGATTTATACTGGTTCGGGTATAGCCAACCCTACATCCAGTTCCCAGTAAACTCTTAACACAACAGTGACTCCCCATTCACTATCTTTCAAATTCAGTTTACAAATTACAATCAACTCAGCAGAAGAACTAGTAAAAAGTAAACTAATTAAAAAGACAATCACCTCCTTAGAAACCCACTAAGGATGAACACCTCCCTAGAATCCCACTAGGGATGAACACCTCCTCTAAACAAATCAAAGGATGAAAACACCTCCTTAGAATCCCACTAAGGATGAACACCTCCCTAGAATCACACTAGGGATGAAGGTAATAAAATAAGAACAGACACACCTGGGTAATGGAGACAACAAATTGTAGAAGCCTGTAGAATGTCAATCTCCAAGAACAAGTGTGATTAACAATGAAAGCATAGAAGGCAGTAGAGAAGAGGATTTTCTCAAAAGGTGTAAAATATCTTTGTTGCCTTTTTTTGAATTCTTTTCTCAAAACTGATTGAATGTAAATTGTATTTTCGAATTCTGTAATTGTGTTTTTTTATTTTTCGTCAAAACTTAATTAAATAGAAAAATAGCATCAGAAAATGGCCTTTGAACATTAATAATATCATAGAGAAAATCAGGATGTATTTAAAAACATTTATTCTTTAAAATAGATATATTTTTCAAATTTGAATTTCCATAATTGATTATATTACCAGTATAATTAATTATGATAGAGAAAATCATTTTTCCATTTCGATGCACCATAATTAATTATGACAGAGAAAAATATCATGTTATGAATTTTATCACACTTAT